TTTGCCTTTTTTTTTTTTTTTTTTTTTTTTTTTTGTTCTTGCCTTTCTGCCATTTGGCGACTGAACCGTTTTATCACATTGTTGCTAGTCCCTTGTGTTGTTCCGCAGCTTCGTCGCTTGGCCGCTTCTCCGCCTGTCCACTTCGAACGCAGAGAAATACCGCGCACATGGTTACATGTTGAGCGATTGGCCAGCTTTTTAAACTTCTTGTGGCCACTCGAAATACTGTCACCATTTCCATTTCCTGTGGCGAAAACGGTGAAGGGGGCATTTTCTGAGGCACAAAACCGGGCGAACATGCTGTTCCCACGATTTTTTTGTCCCTCTTCCTGTACACTTTCAAGTGACGCATGCGTGTATCCACAAACGGGCAGTTTTGCCTCTCCCATCAAAACTGTTTCACGTTAGATTAAAACGCGCATGTGCGCACACATTTGTATGCATATTATGTTCATGTTCCTTCACTGATGCGTCCGTATGTACACACCGTTTTAAATGTAATGGCTATGATGTTCTGTTTCCCGTTTCATGTGTCAACTTTTTTGTTTGTGTGTGTGTGAAGGAAAGACAACCTTTTTCATTTTTGATTCATTTTCCCACCATTGTAAAACCGTGTGCAGGCTTCACCTATGTGTACACTGAATGAACCAGGTATAAGCACAACGTACCAATAAGCATTAGCCAACCTTGCATTGTTCAGTTGTGCTATTACGTAGTTACTGCGTTTTGTATCCACTAGGGAGACCTTTTCCCACCCTTGCCTGAGCCTACCTTTTGAAGGGAAAACTGTGTGAACAATTAACCACAAATTGGCATGGGTCGCATACCTCATTGCTTCATCACGTGACCTACACCCTGCTGGGCGTTTTACACATTTACACAAAGCAGCACACAACTCATCATATAACAAATGGATACCACAAACAACTTGAACGAGTTGCATAGCGCAGGTGGAGTAGGATACATAAACACATACGATGTGGAACACAATGCAAGTGTTCCCAATTTGGAGGCAAGCAAAAGGCAGTACCTCCCAATTAGCAGCCCCAATGTGCAGGTGTTTCATTCGCTGAACTTTGAAAATGGTATGTACATGAATGCAGGGGAGGGGCACGTCGTAGGAGGACTCCACATGATGAACCAGAGCATGGTCTTGCCTTCCGCCGCGGGGGTGGACATTCCTATGGGCGACACACCTGTCACGAATAGCCCAATTGGCAACCACACGGATGCCCCAAGTGAGGGTCGCCCCGTGGACACCCCGCACACGGTAGACGCCCTCTTCAGTACCAACAAATATAAAGTTAAAAAAATAAAAGAGACACATAGCATCAGCGCGGATTACACGCAGAAGAAAAATTTAACGAGCATACTGCCTTTTGAAAAAATAATGGAAGAATACGAAATTCAAAGTTTATATCCTCAAAGCAAAGTGCAAGAATTGTACAACCATCAGAATATGTATGAGGAGAAAGGGAGGTATAATTTGATGCCCCCAAATGGGCATGTCGCTAACGGCACAATGAGGAAGGACTTCACTGCGGACTCTTCAGATGCGTCCCCTTCTCCGTATTTGTCACAAGGTAACACGCCAATGTATGGTGCACAGTATGCATGCGGGGCGGGTGTCGAGTCGAGTAACTTCGGTGGCGCAAACGGGGCCAAGGACAGGCACATCGGTCAAATGGGCTACGCGGCAAATAGAGTGACCCCGGGATCGCCCCTCCAAGTGGAGCACAACACAACAGCGACGGGTCACCCACCCAACAAGGCCATTCAGACGGACATCAAAAATATTAATGAAAAGGACAAGGCGGGGACACCTCCTCATAACGACTGGGAACAGAATGAACAGTGCACTCAAAACAACCTACTCGAAATGTATGACCATAAACAAAATAAAAAAGTGATATACTATGCAGTGAAAAACCATTATGACCCCACCAAGGAAATGCATAAAAAGGAAAAGACCAACTACCCACCCAATCGACACAAGGTATATCAAAATGACATATACGATTATTTGCTTCATCACTACGAAAAAAATTACAAACACATTTTGGACAGCAAATATTTGGACCAGTCAGTTTTTAAAGGAGATCAAAAAGAGTTCCTAGCCAGCCAGGCAAACCCACATACGACCTCACCTAATGGGACATACATCGCAGGAGGGATACTCAACACAAAGGAGAATTATGACAACGCTGGTGATGAGGATAATTCTAAAGGGAAAAATACAAATGCAATGCCTCGTAGCAATGAAGAGGCAAATCAAAGCAACCTGGGACAGGTGACCATGTCGGATAATCTTAAGGGAACCCACTTGTGTCGTAAGGACAACTACAGTGTCGACGTAAACGGTGTGCAGGATGTCACTCCTCTAAATGGAAGACAAGACAACGTATATCAGACGAGTGTGGAAATTTCAAACCTGTGTGATGAGGACGCCATGGACTTATATAAAAATATTAGCGAGGTGTATACTCCGAGGCCCAAGTTGTTTGTGTATGCTGTGAAGGGTAACGCAGAGGGGGACAGGCGGTACATGGAAGGCAGTCCCATCGATGACGTTTTGCCCAAAATGGACACCCCTCTCGGCGAGCTACCCCTCCAAATAAATAAAGAAATGAAGAAAATCTTCAAACGAATGAAGCATAAAAACACAGTTGTGATAAGCAACTTGGGTGTGAGGACGGGGTCGTCTACCTTCTCTAATCACATCCTAAAGAGCGGCCACGAGCGCGGCTTCTTCGGAGGATCGGCCGACCACAAGAACTGCGTCTACGCCCACGTGATGGCTAGCCCGAACAAAATCAATTACGTTTATTTGCACTACAAATTGGTGCTCGCCGGGGGCAGAAGCAAGAGCGCTGATAAAGTCAAACGCGACGATAAACTCAAACGAGACGACAGAATCAAACGACATTCTAGCAGGAGCGTTGGACGCAGCAGCTGCGGGGACGGGGATGTCCCCAGCGAAGTCAACACACTCATCGCACTGTCCTTCTATCTCTCAAACATTATTATTTTTCACATCAACAGTGAGAGCTGTTCGAAGGTGTTTGATCTGTTGGCACAGTACTACGATGTGGTGAAGCACATTAAGGAGAACGTGAAGCGGAGAAGGGACAAGTGTGAGCAGCAGGACAGGGGGAAGGACGTTGGGGGTGACAGCAAAAGTGGAAACAGTGGGCATCGAAACAGCTTCAGCCAGAGCGGCGCATCTCTTCCGGACACCCCCCACTCCAAAGGTGGCAACTACAATGGTGGTAACTACAATGGTGGTAACTACAATGGTGGCAACTACAATGGTGGTAACTACAATGGTGGCAACTATAACGGTGGTAACTATAATGGTGGTAACGGCGGGGAGGACAACTCTGAGGAAGACAATTTTGAGGAGGACAATTTCAGCGTCCCATATTTCGTATTCCTGCTGCGGGACACGACCCTGGGGAGTGCATCCGGGGCGGACATAGGGGACACAGAAGGGCCGAGCAAATTGCCCCCAAGGAAATCTCTCACGAAAGAAGCAGAATCGAAAAAAGTGCCCCCCAAGGTGACACGAAATAGCGCCCCTAATGTGGTCCCCCCCACGGGAGATAACCAAAGCGCACGCGCACAGAAGCTACTGGAGGACCTAATCGAAGGAATACAAAACCCAGTGATAAAGAAAAAGGTAAAGTATCTTCTAAAATTTTTGGCGAAGAAAAGTCTATTCCATTTGCCTCCCCTGAAAGAAAAAAACAAAGAAGAATATGCAATACAAATGAGGAAAATAAAAAAAGACATCTTCATCAATGGCAAAAATGTAGAATACATGTACCCGAACAATGGAATATATGTGTATAAATATTTAAACATGCTAACCTACACAATTAACAGGAACATTTTCTACACTCCCAATTATTTAAAAAAAAAAATGGAAAGTTGTGAATGCAAAACTTTACATAATGTCTTAACAGATAATTTCCTCTTCCACGTCAGAAGAAAAATAGAAAATAAACTCCCCATGAAACCTAACCTATTCCTAACCCTAATAAATGATATAAAAATTGAATTTCTCCTCAGCTTTGAGACCCTGTGTATCGGAAATTCAAAATTGAAGAGAAAATATAAAAACCAGCTGTGCCACAACATTGATGTGATTGTATTAAAAGCCTACAAAGAAAATATTGCTTTCAGTTGCTTCATCTTTTTTAATATAATCGATAAAAAAATTAGCAAACTTCAAATTTATAATAAAATTAACAAACGGAAATATGAGCATTTTGATCAACTCAGAAATGACATCGATAATATAAACGATGGATCCATTGACAATCTTATATATAATGAAATCCTTGGAATAAAAAAGGAGGAAATTTTGACCTACTTCATTAAGACCTATTATAGCGGATTTACTTCAAGGAAAGGCTCGTCTTTCGTTCGTGTACAGCAGGAAAATGATGCACAAAGTCAACATGAATATAATACTCATACAGGAGCAGGATATACTAAGGCGACAAAAAAGAACAGCTACAACTCCGACTCGACTGTCGACCCGGACCAGTTTGCGGACCCATGTGGTCATCAAACAAGTCGAAGAAGTGTAAGTGGGGCCCGCGTCTTGCGAATGAATACCACTGCATCCTCTGCATTGTTGCGCCGAGGAAGTCGCCATCACAGTGAGAAGGCATTCTCCAAGGGACAGAGCCACTCCTCCAGTGATCAGCACTCTCACAATTACGACACACCAAAGCAGATAAAGGGGAATAAATACAAATCGGATGGACACTCATTAAGGGGAAAGAATTCATCGTGCGAAAGTTCAGTTTCAAGTCACCACCAGAAAGGAGGTCCAAAGGACCCCACCGATGGTAGACGCACCAAGCACTACACGGATGAAGAAGACAAGGGAAAGAAGACCCACACGAAAAAGCCTCTCCACAAATTCAAGTCTGACGTAGAATTGCAAAACGAGCGAAAGATAAAAATGATACAAGAGATCCAACTGGGGGATCGACACATTTCAAAGAAGTACCACAGTGTTGATTATAAGAATGCACTTCCGGCCAGTGTTCACCAAAATGAGATCAGCGATTCCAATTCGTATGAGCCATCCTACCATGGAGGGGCGGCTCTTCAAACAAAGGCGACTCCCCAACACGCGGGGGTGCAATCTTGGCCAAACACAACCGAACGAATTAAGAAGCAGGAAAAACAACACCAAAAAAAAAGATAAGCTTCACTGAGGAGAGAGAAAGCGCTCAGCGCGAGTCGAAACGAGCCACATTCTGAAATGGGAAAAAACTTCCACCGCATTTCTGCACAGTCAGGGGAAAATACAGTTCATCGAGAGGAGGGGGTGCGCGTTGGGACCTCGCTCGGCTCCACTCGATCGACTCTGAGGAAAACAAAAGGAGAGCAATTATTTTCCCAAGCAGTGAGAAGACAGAGACTTTGCTCATATTTTCACCGATTTGCCTTTTTTTTTTTTTTTTTTTTTTTTCAATATTCCGCTTTGCACTCACCCCGGTGCACAGCACCATTATTCACACGTGGATAACTTTCGCCACGCATGAGTAATCCCCCTCTTTTTTTTTTTTTTTTTTTTTGTGCCCCCTTGGTTCGGATCCTCAGGACAAACCTGGGGGCGACGGCACGAATCCAACGCACCACAATACAAACCGCTTTTATTTTTTTTTTTTTTTGTCTACTTTAAAATATTTAAAGGTTCGGATTATGGTGGGGTTTTAGAAGCGGCGCATTGAAAATTGCCCCATACGGTTTATGTGAAGCGGGATACAAAAAAAGGGACCCTTCACTGGAAGGAAAACTGCTCATGTGTGAAGGCAGACATGGAGTACACATACACGCAACGCTTACGCTTACGCACACGTCAGAGGGAGCCGTGCTTCTGACTCCACTCGTCGTAGTCGAAGACGCACTTGTAGGACGTGTTCACCTGGGACATGGCCTTTATAAAGTCGTCGTATCGAATGGCTCTAAAGATGGAAGTATTTGGTATGTTCTCAATTCCATTGTACTGCTCCACAGCATCATCATACACATACTCGTAACACTTGGTGCAGAGGTGGTAGATGTCGCTTCCGTTCCAGTTGTGTAACTTGTGTGAAATGGAGTCCAACTCCTCTTCACTCATTTGAAACCCAGAGTGTGTGTGTTTCGTGATGATATAACGTATTTGCTCCTTCCTTGCTTGTAAATCTGGAAGGGGTATATAGACTCTCTTGTTGAATCTTCTTAGCGCTGCATCATCGATCATATCAGGTCGATTGGTTGCCCCAATAATTACAATGACGGCGTCCTTCTTAGTGTTAATACCGTCAATCATTTGTAGTAGCTGATTCTTAATTCGTATGGTTGTATCGTCTTCATCTTTTTTACGCATACCTAGGATGGAATCTATTTCGTCGAAGAAGAGGATAGAGGGGTTATCCACCTCTGCACATTTGAAAAGACAAGTTACAATTTTTTCTGTCTCTCCAATGTATTTACTAAATAGGGAAGACGTGCTTACGTTGTAAAACGAGCATCTACAATGAGAAGCCACCCACTTGGCAATCATCGTTTTGCCTGTCCCTGGGGGACCAAAGAGTAATATCCCTTTTGCAGCTCTATTCAACCCTGTAAATAAATCGGGTCTCAAAATCGCATTCACAATTTTATCCTTTATAATCTTCTTAATGTCATAGAGGCCGATGATGTCGGATTCTTTTACGTGTTCATTTGAACTCATTTTCATGCTGAGGGCGTAGCGTAAAACGTTAATTTCTAATCCTTGGTCTACTAAGTGTTGGTATCTCTGTGGGATATCTCCACATCCCTCTTTCATGTCATCTGTATTTTTTTTATGACTCTTCTTCCTTTCATCCTTTTTATCATTTGTCCTGTCCAATCGACATCCTAAGCGGTAATCGTTTGTGTACGAGTCTTCATTACTATGGCTTTCTCCACTCTTCGAGTTGTTTCTGTTTCGCCTTTTTTTTGAATTAATATCGTTGTATGCTTTAATGGCTTCTTCATTCTTTTCATTTTTTCTTTTAATCAGTATGTCGAATGCATTGGAAAAGGCTTCCTTGCGTTTTGTTTTTATGGGGAAGGAATAGGACTCCTCATTTGGCTTCTCCCCCCTGTCCGTGGTAGCCATGCCGCTTTTCTTTGCCTTGCACGTGGTTTTCTTCACCGATGGAAGGGACGTCTTTCCACTTTTGCCGTCAGTCACTTGGGGTTTCCTCTTCTGTTTGATTTTCCTCGCTGAAGGCGTGGTGCTTTTCTCGATGGCGTCCCCTGGGGAGTCTATCCGTAAACCACTTTGTTTCCCGCTTGGGTTTACGCTGGGGTTGCCGCTTTGGTTTACGCTACGGTTACCGGTTTGGTTAGCACTGTGATTAGCACTGTGATTGCCGCTGTCCTTTTGTTGACCATTTTGGCTACCTGCCTGGTTTTGATTTTTCGGTTTCGCTTTCTCCCCGTCCTCCCTTTTCCTCTTCAGCGCCTTGGGGGTGAAGATATCGTCGTCGCTGAAGTCGGTGCTCGCCCGGGCGTTCTTCTCCTTCCCGACCTTCGTCTGCTCTACTCCCTCCAGAGGGTAGGTCTCTCTTTTGCCTTCTACCTCCTTCTCTACCGTTGCTTCGCGTGTACTGTCTCCCCCCGGGGCTGCCCCCCTCTCATGGTACACCTTAACAAACAATGGGTCAAAGTTCATGAAGTTCTTTATGTCCACCTCCTGCACGCCACTCACGAAATTGGGATTCCCCTCAATTTTACTCTCCACATTGTCTATTACATCTGTCCTCCTCAGCAAATCCATGACCTCTTTATATGTTTCATGATCTGAATAATGCTCAAAAATGTTACTATCCGTATTTGTAAAGATGAAGTCGTGAGGGTTGAATTCTTCCCTGCTCTGCAGCTCATCTTCACTTGACTCTGCGTCCCCCCATATGTCGTTTAACATCATATCATGCAGGCACTTCCTCTCACCCTCATGCATTTCATTGTAGAGGAGTTCTTCCCACATGGCTCCTCCTAAATTTCCCATGGTGTCTCAGCGGGAAAGCTCTACGGGGTGCTCTACGGGGTGCTCTACGGGGTGCTCTACGGGATACTCTACTCGGTGGTGTATGTATATTTTTAGGTACACATTCGTGTGCAACGCTAAGGCGAGACACCAAATCGGTAGGCACAAGGCTCAGATAAACAAGAGTGCCTCCTTAGCTTGACTCCTCCCGACGTCTCTTCTTCTCTTGGAAGTTACTCTGCGGGAGTTAGCTGAGTCTGCTTCTCTACCTCGGCAAGCGCATATTTTATTGACTCCCCTCCCGAGCCCTTCAGGGCATATGCCGTTGCTCTCCCCACGGTAGAAAAAATCGAGAAGCAATCCTGCCGGTTAGTTGGTGTGTATTAGAGGAGCTTCTCCTTCCGAGGGGGCATCATACGAGTATGTTTTATTTTGCTTTATTTTGTTTTATTTTGTTTTATTTTTATGATCATTAATGTGCGCGAATTTTCACCATTGTGCATCCACACAATGCCATCGCACCTTTGAATTCTTAAGAAGTTTTACGAACAAAAAAAAATTGGGGAAATGAAAAGGAGGGAAATTACAAAAAAGAAAAACAAAAAAAAAACAAAAAAAAAAAAAAAAAAAAAAAAAAAAA